CTGCTAGCCCCCCTGCTGCTAGCCGCCGTGCTAGTCCCCCTGCTAGCTGCCCTGCTAGTCCCCCTGCTAGCCACCCTGCTAGTCCCCCTGCTGCTAGTCCCCCTGCTAGCTGCCCTTCTAGTCCCCCTTCTAGTCCCCCTGCTAGCCGCCCTGCTAGTCCCCCTGCTAGCCCCCCTGCTGCTAGCCGCCGTGCTAGTCCCCCTGCTAGCCACCCTGCTAGTCCCCCTGCTAGCCACCCTGCTAGTCCCCTGCTAGTCCCCCTCCTGCCCTAGTTGTCTGACTGAAAACAGAAGCAGATTGAGATGGTTACAGCTTGCTGACTCTGTTCAGTGGAGCCAAAATTGGTGCAGAAACTACCACCCCCATCCAGGAAACATGCCTGTATTCATGAAGGCGTGGGAGGACAGTGTATCGTACAGACTGGATTACACCACCGCTCTACCAGGCACAGCTCTCTAAAAATAATTAAGCTGTTTTATTGCTTGTGAGTGGACCACAGATGTCCTCCGGGCACAACGGGATTGAGCTCCCACACAGCATTTTGTGGGAGTGCCTATAGCTCAGTTTCAGAAAGCTTCTGCAGTTTCACAGCATTAGCATTAGCATTAGCCCAAAGCTGGAAAACATCCATAGATGGAATAGTCAAGTCATTGAGTCAAATATCACATGGCACTATTTTATTGGAGGAAAAAAAAGGGAAAATAACATATCTGAATATCCCTGGAAGGATTCCTAGCTCATATTGAATCAAGGGCAATTTTTATTTATTTATGTTTCTCTCACAGTGGGAAGCTGGCCATGCTGTCCACTAAACATTAAACCCGCTTCATTAATGTTTTTTTTCCCCCTCTTTCCTCAGATCCTGCATGGGTTTAAGGAGCAGGTGGGGGAGGAGAACTGGCAGCAGTTTTCAGAGCAGTTCCCTCCGTTGCTGAAGGAAAGACTGGCAGCCTGCTACGGCGTTTAAACTCTCAGCAACCACCCGAGAGGTAACGCCAACCCCGTTCAAGCTAGGGTTGTCAAAAGTATCGATACTCAAAAAACTATCGATACTAAAATGTTTTATCCGGATACGATACTCATTTTCAAAAGTATCGATACCACCGCCCCTTCTCTCAGATTAATTTATGTATTTATTTACGTTGTTTATGATCATTAACGTGACGTTAGCCTTGAACTGCTAGCTGCGGCTAATGGCTAATAACAACATGCTACCATTAGTCAAGTACGTATCCAACTAAACATTAAACCTGCTTCATTAATGTTTTTTTTCCCCCTCTCTCCACATCCAATTCGGCCATTTTGATTACATGACCAATAGGAAGAAAAGAAAATCCTAATTGCTTCATGGCAATATAGAAATTCATTAAAAAATTGTGAAATTAATCTTTAAAACACTTAATTAAACTCTATCCATAATATTATGTTAAAATAGTGGATGTTAAATAGGTTTGTACAATAATTCTAAACTAGTTTAACCAAAAAATATTTATTTCTCACAATTATGAAAGGTGGAGGGTCAGGGTTAGGGTTAAGGTTAGGGTCAGGGTTAGGATTAGGGTTAGGATGAGGGTTAGGGTCAGGGTTAGGGTTAGGATTGGGGTCATTAATGTGGGCCAATAGACGCCATAACATCAGTAACAGGTCAGTTTGAAATGAAAGACAATAACCTGTCAAAATTCAGTTAAATTTTGGGGTCTTTGTTTTTATCCTTGTGGTATCGAAATTGGTATCGAGTATTTTCCTGAGTATCGGTATCGAGTTGAACATTTTAGTATCGTGACAACCCTAGTTTACATTAGTGAAGCTGTAAAAAAATGGTATTGAGTATCGAATATTTCCCTGAGTATCGGTATCGCGTTGAACATTTTAGTATCGTGACAATCCTAGTTCAGGCCCCCACCGGGACTCTGGCTGTGTACTAACCCCTGTTTCTCCCCCCTGTTTCTCCGCTTGTTTCTCCCCCTGTTTCTCCCCCCCCAGGTGAGCCGGCAGGAGGAGGGTGAACGGGAAACTCATCCATCTGTGTATTGCACTGCCCTGATCTGGGGGAGGGAGGGGGACGCTCCCCCTGATGGACGGCCCCCACGCCCTGTGTGTTTGTCCATAGAGGGAGGGTGGGCGGGAGGGAGGGAGGGACAGGGAGACACCTCTAGATTAACTAGGCAGGGACCAGACACAGAAAAAAAACAAAAACTAACCGGTAGGGACAGATAGAGAGCGGGACACGGGAGGACAGACGGACGGACGGGCGGGGTGGAACCGAGCAGAAAAGAGGAGGTTTAAGAAAAAAGTTCAGGCAGGGAAAACACTACGGAGGCCACGCACACGGCTGTTGCCTAGGAGACGGGAACCAATCAGATCTGAACGGGACTCTGAGACCGGAGAGGAGACGACCGACGGATTGACCACAGACCAACGCACACGGACTCAAACCTTAACTCAAAACACGGAAACAGACTGTGGGTTTGCACACCACCATTTTGGACTTTTTCAGACCTTAGCTCACTAGTTAGGGACAGACAGGCGTCCAGACTCTTTCCCCGTCCTCTGGGCGGGAATAACTCTTACACTTTCCGGGGAACACGTATTCGATATCATTTCCTTCATCCGTTAACCCACCGAATCCCGCTTCGCCGTAAGGTCATTTCACGGTCCGCGTCTGTGTTTCCCAGCTCGTTTTTTTTAGAAACAGAGCGCTGCTTTTTTCTTGGAGCTCGCCACCTTTCCGACGCTCTCCCGGACGAGATGGGAGGGGCGTCTTTCCTCCTCTGGGAAGGGAGACTTAGGGCTAACACATCTGTTTTTTCTCACCGGAGCGGGAGGAAATCGTACAAAGAAAAAAAAAAAATAGCATCCTTAGTTTTGTCTGCGAGGGTCTGCGTGCGTGCGAGCGTGCATGTGCGAGCGTGCATGTGAGAGCGTGCACGTGCAGAGCGTTAAATCCTTACTTTGGCATTCTGTGTTAACAGTGTATTGTTTTTCGATATGGTACCAAGCTAAAAACTTGACTCCCACCACAATGTCCTTGGCACCCGTTAACTGTGACCAAGTGTTTGTGTGTGTGTGTGTGTGTGTGCGTGTGCGTGTGTGTGCGTGTGTGTGTGCGTGTGTGTGTGCATGTGAGTGAGTGTACGTGTTTGTCTACATTCGTACTGATATCCATTTGATGCCATATTGATATCTTTAGTAAACCAGTAATTGGCAGTGTCATTGTGATCTTTATGATGTTTTATAATTGGTCTTTTTTTTTTTGTTTTTTTCTTTGCTGCTACTGCTGAGTTTTGTTTCTCTAGTGGACTTAAATTCACACTTAACACAAAAATTGAATTAATGCTATATTCAGTGACTGTTAAGTTTTTTTTGCACTTTTTTTATTTTAATCTTTATTTTTTTCTTTTTGTATGATATGTTTTTTTTTTAACCTCACCCATATGAGATGTCTTGACCCTAATGTCAGTGTTTGTCATACTGTGTTGCACTGTGAAATCAAGTGTCTTTGACTGGCAAAAATATCCCAATACTAAATGGCAAATAAAAAAAACTTTGTGAAACTGCGACTAATCCGCACTTTTACAACGACTAACATTGCCATATTTCTGAATGTGTGTGTGAGTGTGTGTGTGAGTGTGTGCAAGATCCTGCATGAAAACTTTTTTTCCTGCCTATGAGCATGTTTTTTTAATAGTTCGATGGTATTCTTATGAAATAGGGTTACAAATATTTTCTCTTTTTTCAGTTTTTTTCTCCGAAGGGACGTAGCCTGTTCAGCCTATAATGTGGGCATGCTTTGTGTTTTTCACCGGGTGTGTATGTGTATGTGTGTGTGTGTGTGTGTGTGTGTGTGTGTTTGATGTATATTTCAGAGTAATATGATTGCCCTTTACGCACCAACGCACCACCTCAATCCATAGGAATAGAGCACAGAATACTTACAGAAGAGCTAGGAGACTGCCAAAGAGCAATAGCCACTGAAATAAAAAAGGAACAATAAGGAGCCAGGCTGCTGTTTCAATAATAAACATCTGTATCCTGCAGATGTCAGAATCCGTGCACAGCAGGGAGGTAAAGGTCAAACACCGCTAAGATTTTGCCAGCGAAATTCAATCCAGGGAGTCTATATATTTTCAAATCGACCTATTTTTTTTTTGCAGCTTGAAAGACGCGTGAACACAGATGGACGCTAACGGTTGGGTTCGATAATCGAACCCGTCTTTGGTCACTTCAACAGGAGACAATCTGAAGCCCAGTCTAGTTCTAGTTCGTTTTGCCCAGAGGCTCTTAGTGCAGAACCTTTTCAAGAACTTGCTTGTTTTGTCATTTTAAGTGTATTTTTTCTCTAAAACTTCTGTAATGCTCTATTTTCTGTCCTTTTTTTTTTTTTTTTTTTTAAATGAGCTTTTTCTAGTTCCATGACCAGTTTTTGTATCAGGAATATAGTGTTCATGTTGTTTAGATGATGCTGTAGAGGCCTCGGTCAGGCCACTTTGAGTGTAGCGAGGGGGGGGGGGCTTTTGGGAAGAGAAGAGCTATTTAGTACGTTATTTAGGTTATTTAGTCAGAAATGAACACGGTGCGTGATACGATTCCGTTAGATTTGAGCCCAGAAATGCACCGATCGGCCATAACATTTAAACCACTAAGCACGAGTTATTAAGCTTTTATTTTTATAATTAAAGTGAACCGGCATTCTGGCTCTGACCAGGATGTCACTTTGAGCTCAACACTGTTTCCATCGGCTGACCAGGGACAGCCTACTTTTAAAAAACTGGTTCGGAAACACTATGAAGAAGACAGTCTGAGGCATTTCTCCAGCTTCCAGACTGATGGAGGCCCTGGAAAAGTCCTGAGGACCAAAAGGACCAAACATCCCCCCTGAGACCCCCAAAACTCCCCTGAATGGAGTGGTCATAATGTTATGGCTGAGTCGTGCACATGGGTTTGATTTACAGTCTGACTTTGGCCAGTTCCACTCCGTTATTCGGAGGGGGGGGGGGAATAAAGTGCTGTTGAGTCTGTGACATGCTTTCTAGTTTTGGTGTAACATTTACAGAAGATCCAGCCGGCTTGTGGATTCTTGAAATAAATCATGTCGTGCATGCTGAAGAACAGTTGTTATACTTTCCACCCCATGTTTTTTCTAGTTTTTGGTCAGGAGATTGGAGTGTCATCAAACTCTGGAGGAAAAAAGAAAATTCAAGCCTCAAGGCTAAACCTTATTAAAGTGACATCTTTTTGTTGTAAGGGTTTGTGTGTATGTGGCTGGACATTATAAATATCTAAATATGATTAACAGCAACTAATCTTTCACTTATAGTAATATTTTAATAATATCTATGATGTTTCACGCAGACTAAAAACCAACATAAAGCTACAAACAGATGCTTTGGTTCAGATTCCACATAAGAGTTCATATTATAAGAAAAACTCAATCTATATAAGTTCAAACTGATATATATCAATGGAATTAGAGTTTTGTGATCACTACCTCAGAAACATACATTACCAAAACAAACATCTGGATAGTAGTTAGCAAGGTAAGCTAAAACTAACTAGCTCATTTTTCAGGATTTTTTTTTAAAAGAAAGCAACCATTTAAATTTCCAAATTTTATAAAGTTAATTTGTAAAGATTAACAAAGAACATATTAAATGTTTAATTTTTCATGGGATCTCAAAAATATTTTCTTATGAATTTGATAGTGTCCCCGTGGTAAATAAATAGTAACCTACAGAGGAGAAAAATACCAAAATTGGTATCGAAGTCATATCAGAGGATTTCAACACTGAAAGTGCCAAAAAGTTCAGTATTATTGGAATAATATTTGTTAATATAACACATCTATGTTAAAAACATAACAGTGTCAAATGAATGAGCATTTAATTAGGTGTTTTTTTAGTTTTTTCAAAGTTCAACCATGTATTCATTCATGGAAACACATCCATATTAATTCTGTATTTAGCAAGAAGATGTAGAAAAGAGTAAGCTTTGTCAAAACCAGAAAAAGTTATTGCATTTCTGTCTAGATGAAATATATATAAACACATATAAACCAAAAACATTGATTTCATGTGGTCGGATTTGAAAAACAAGAAGAAAAATGCTGTCAATTTGAAGGAGTTAAGACTGATTTAAAATAATTTAATTCTGTATTTATTTACATCATAAACAATAACCAAGTATTTCCTGGAGAACATCACAGTAGAGTCCAACATAACTAACAACAGAAGAGTTCAAAGTTATTTATAACTTTTTTCAAAACAACTTTCCAAATCTACAAATCTATCTTTCCAGTTAACTAGTCAGTTTTTGTTTTAACACATAAATAATTAAAAAAGGATTGATCTCTTTAATTTTATTAAAGTTTCATCCAATTGAATAAAGTGAAAAAGCTGCAGTTCCTGGTTTAAAATGACCTTAAAACCAGGGATCTGGTTCATGTCCTGCACCATAATTATTGCACAGCTTTAGTTACGTGTCAGATCGTTTTATCTCTTGTTTTTTTACCCTGAAGCGTGTTCTGGAAAGTCCCTGCACCACTGTGACGTCTTTGCTTTTCTCCCAGTAGCTTCTCAAAGTCCTCAGGCCTCCAGGTTTAAAGTCTTTCCACCATTGGGACACAATCTTTTTCCTCATTTAGAAAATTCAGATTATGGAATATTCTATCTGCTGGTCAGTGTTTACTTCTTATATGCGAAAATAAAATAAATCTGCTTCACAGAATTTTGCTCAAAGGTTAGAATTAAAATGACAGTGTCCAGTTTCATGATGCTAATGTGTCTGCTTTCCATGTTTTTCCCTCTGGAGGGGCCAGAATGAGGAGTTGGGGCTAACCCAGAGCTACTTTCTGTTAGTCTGGTGCTTTCAGAAGTAGTCCCGTTTTCATCTGGCTGCTCATGTCAGAAGTTAGGACACGTCCTGTAATCACCATTTGTGTTTACATATGTTTTTGGAATATGGTCTCTTAGGTCCTGTAAGAGTTCTGTTAGAGATCCAAGCTGGGGGGAGGGGGGGGGGTTGTCGCCTGTTTTATTTATTTTATTTAAATACATTTTTTTCTCTTTTTTTACTTTCTTTTTCTTTTTCTTTTGTTTCTATATGTTCCTTTCTGTTGTATTAGGTTGTGATATACCCTTTTACCTTTATCGGACTACTGTATCTGTTTCTCTTTAAAATAATAAAAAAGTTGTTCACAAAAAAAAGAAGTTAGGACACGTAAAACCAGTAGTTCTGGGCGACTGGAGGCTGGATTCAGATTTTCAGAAGCTGTCAGGTCCGGGTTCTGGCCGGTTCCCAGGCCTCCGGATTTAGAAACTTCCCCCGTGAGACAGCATGTGGTCAGCGAGCTGCCTGGCTGAGGTTTTTTTCCCGATTAGCTCTTAGCTCTCAGGCTAGCCCGTTCCTCCTTTAACTGATGGCCGATAGGATAGCCAGTAAGCCTCTCTCCACCTCCCACAGCTCCTCACTTACCCTGACCTCTGCTGTCCTCCCAAACCAGCCAACACCAACCGCTACGGCCAACTGACCCTCACTACTTACAGTGGGGGAAATAAGTATTTGACCCCTTGCTGATTTTGCAGGTTTGCCCACTTACAAAGAATGCAACGATCTATAACTTTAATCATATGTACATTCTAACAGTGAAAGGCAGAATCCCAAAGAAAATTCCAGAAAATCACATCATATGATTTTATAAAAAATTGATAACCATCTGATGAGGAAAAATAAGCATTCTTTGTAAGTGGGCAAACCTGAAAAATCAGCAAGGGGTCAAATACTTATTTCCCCCACTGTATTTCACATCTTATGCAAATCATCCAAAAATCAATCACCAGGACTGGTTTACTCCGGTTTCTTCTAATAATCTGCACAGAGTTTGCATACAGAAGAAGAAGAAGAAGCCTGATGGCCGACTTTCCTCACGATCGGTTACATAAAAAATATGGTTATAGTGATAGAAAAACTATAATCTGAGCAGAATGAAGCAATAGATATTTTCCAGAAATACAAAGAAGCACTAAGATGATCACTTATCCTCATATATTAGCTTCATATTGACATAGTTACACAGTTTTAAACTGAGAAAAAACAGTCAATACTTGATAACTACTCCCTGACAACGAGGACTTCTTTGCAAGTCGGAAAAGGTTTAAACGAATATTTCTCAAGCGTCACAGAACTTTAAATTCTAAAGCAGAAAACAGAAGCAGTCGTCCAGAAATGGGTGATTTAACAGTGTGGGCAGAGGTCTGGACAAGGCAAAAACAAATGGACAAAAGTCCAACCTCTCCTCCTCCAGCTCCACAGGTCCAGATTTACCGTGTTCCTCCCTTTAATGCTCTTTTTAAAAATCCCTCCCTTGGCTGGGATCAGACCAGCGTGCTGAGTCGGCTTTTCCCTCCGTCTGATTGGAGGACAGAAGCTTTGTTTTCCAAACCAGTCTGGTTTCCAGCGTCCAACCAGACTAAACGTCTCAATAAACTCATTAAATTCTTTGTTTTTCACACCTACAACGAGCTTGTCTTTGTTTTTTCAGATTCTGTACCACTATCATATTTCTAATATGTTTTTACAGCAGACGGCTGCAGTAAAAATGCTCCCTTTTGTTTCTTTTTCCTTTTTTCTTTTCCTGGTTTCTCTGTTGTTCCTCTGTATTCTGGAGGTTTGGATTTGCCTGTTTTTCCTTTTTCTTTTCCTGGTTTCTCTGGCGTTCCTCTGTATTCTGGAGGTTTGGATTTGCCTGTTTTTCCTTTTCTTTTCCTGGTTTCTCTCACGTTCCTCTGTATTCTGGAGGTTTGGATTTGCCTGTTTTTCCTTTTTCTTTTCCGGTTTCTCTCTGGCGTTCCTCTGTATTCTGTAGTTTTGGATGCTTCTGGTCTGGGGGGGTCAGAAGTTGCTGAACAGCTCCTGCTTCTTGCTCCAGTCCATGGGGGGGGCTCTCTTCTTGCTGCGGGTGGCGAGGACCTTCTGCTTGGCCTCCGCCGCCGTGGGACTCAGCCGCAGGCCGCAGTCCACCAGCGGGTCAGAAACACGCCGGTCATCCTCCTCAGGGACCTGAGACAGAAACACACAGTTAACAACCCACAGGATCCAACCCTGCCCACATCCAAGTCGGCCATTTTGATTAGGTCACCAATAGGAAGATCCCAAGCAAGAAAATCCTGATTGCTTCATGGCAATATAGACATTCATTTAAAAATAGTTAAATGGATCTTTCAAACACTTAATTAAACTCTATACATATTATGTTAACATAGAGTATGTTAAATAGGTTTGTACAATAAGTCCAAACAAGTTTAACCAAAAAATATTTATTTCTCACAATTATGAAGGCTGGAGGGTTAGGGTTAGGGTTAGGTTTAGGGTTAGGGTCAGGGTTAGGGTTA